TCTTTTCAGGTAGTTCAGACACAAACCACGACAGCTTATTGTAGAATACTACCTACACTGGACCACCACGTTTGAGATATCTTTTTCAGGTACAGTAGTTCAGACACAAACCACAGCAGCTTATTGTAGAATACTACCTACACTGGACCATCACGTTTGAGATATCTTTTCAGGTAGTTCAGACACAAACCACGACAGCTTATTGTAGAATACTACCTACACTGGACCACCACGTTTGAGATATCTTTTTCAGGTAGTTCAGACACAAACCGCGGCAGCTTATTGTAGAATACTACCTACACTGGACCACCACGTTTGAGATATCTTTTTCAGGTAGTTCAGACACAAACCACGACAGTTTATTGTAGAATACTACCTACACTAGCTGGACCACCACATTTGAGATATCTTTTTCAGGTAGTTCATACACAAACCACGACAGCTTATTGTGGAATACTACCTACACTGGACCACCACGTTTGAGCACAGCTAATAAAATATACATGGTTTGGAAGCTCAATTACAGCACAATACAACTCATTATCTATCTTATTGTCCTTGTTTATGCAAAAAGTTGTTCCGTTCTCGTCACGTGTGTATTGTATTTTATCGTAAACAACCAATAGCTGAATGTTCGAACTCAGCTGTTCATCCGTGACTGAAACAATTGGTCAATCTACACATTGCTATTGGTTGATTTCGAAAAAAATACAATACACACGTGACGAGATAGGACCCATATTTTTGCATAAACTGACACAAAGCTCCAGGAAGATGTTGTGTGATTGGTTGATTATGACAATGACAAAAGAATGGATTTTCTAAAGAACGAAGCAAGAACAATATTCCTTTTGTTTATGTAAGCCAATTACGTCTTTTGTCATTGTCATAGTCAACCAGTCACAGAACATCTTCCTAGAGCTTCGTGTTTACTGCGATAATGAGCTGTATTGCGTTTTCGCCGAGTCACCAAACCATGCATTTTATTAACTGTGGTTTGAGATATCTTCTTTGGTTAGTTCAGATACAAACCACGGCAGCTTATCGTAGAATACTACCAACACTGGACCACCACGTTTGAGATATATGTTTCAGGTAGTTTAGACACAATCCATTCCAGCGTATCGTATAACCTTTTAAAGACGTTGAATTACTTTATCATTTTATTTTCTTTTTCAGACACAACGGCACCAAATATCGAGCTGTTGAAACCACTACCTACCAAGACAAAGCAACCGACATGGGATTTCACATGGACTGCAGACGAACTTACGAATTTCACTTGCGCAGTCGATAGCTTACGGAATGAAAAGGATTGTGGGTTCGGCTTGAACGGTCGCTTCACGACAGACCCACTCTCCGATGGGCCACACAGATTCTATTTACTTGGTGAAGACGAACTTGGAAACACTGCCAAAGTGGTTACGCATAGATGGGTAGTTGGTGAGTTATGCAGTTGATTTTGCTTATGCTAATGGTATAGTTAGTACGGGAGCCTCATTTCTGTCAATGGAGCTGATAAGCGGCTGTGATGAGAAACTGTCTCATTGCGGGAGTATTTTTACTAAGTCCGTATAGCACACTGCATTTTCAAGTACGGTTGCCAAATGCCGCACAACCATGGCTACAAGGAATGCCGAAAACAGCCGTACTTTATAGCCACAAACCATGGCTATAAGGTATGCCGAAAACAAGTGTACTTTATAACCACAAACCATGGCTATAAGGTTTGCCGAAAACAGGTGTACTTTATAGCCATAAACCATGGCTATAAGGAATGCCGAAAACAGCCGTACTTTATAGCCACAAACCATGGCTATAAGGAATGCCGAAAACAGGTGTACTTTATAGCCACAAACCATGGCTATAAGGTTTGCCGAAAACAGGTGTACTTTATAGCCACAAACCATGGCTATAAGGTATGCCGAAAACAGGCGTACTTTATAGCCACAAACGATGGCTATAAGGAATGCCGAAAACAGCCGTACTTTATAGCCACAAACCATGGCTATAAGGTTTGCCGAAAACAGGTGTACTTTATAGCCACAAACCATGGCTATAAGGTATGCCGAAAACAGGCGTACTTTATAGCCACAAACGATGGCTATAAGGAATGCCGAAAACAGCCGTACTTTATAGCCACAAACCATGGCTATAAGGTATGCCGAAAACAGCCGTACTTTATAGCCACAAACCATGGCTATAAGGTTTGCCGAAAACAGGTGTACTTTATAGCCACAAACCATGGCTATAAGATATGCCGAAAAACAGGCGTACTTTATAGCCACAAACCATGGCTATAAGGAATGCCGAAAACAGGCGTACTTTATAGCCACAAACCATGGCTATAAGGTTTGCCGAAAAACAGGCGTACTTTATAGCCACAAACGATGGCTATAAGGAATGCCGAAAACAGGCGTACTTTATAGCCACAAACCATGGCTATAAGGTATGCCGAAAAACAGGCGTACTTTATAGCCACAAACCATGGCTATAAGGTATGCCGAAAACAGGCGTACTTTATAGCCACAAACCATGGCTATAAGGTTTGCCGAAAACAGGTGTACTTTATAGCCACAAACCATGGCTATAAGGTATGCCGAAAACAGGCGTACTTTATAGCTACAAACCATGGCTGTAAGGTATGCCGAAAACAGGCGTACTTTATAGCCACAAACCATGGCTATAAGGTATGCCGAAAAACAGGCGTACTTTATAGCCACAAACCATGGCTATAAGATATGCCGAAAAACAGGCGTACTTTATAGCCACAAACCATGGCTATAAGATATGCCGAAAACAGCCGTACTTTATAGCCACAAACCATGGCTATAAGGAATGCCGAAAACAGGCGTACTTTATAACCACAAACCATGGCTATAAGGTTTGCCGAAAACAGGCGTACTTTATAGCCACAAACCATGGCTATATGGTATGCCGAAAACAGGCGTACTTTATAGCCACAAACCATGGCTATAAGGTATGTCGAAAACAGCCGTACTTTATAGCCACAAACCATGGCTATATGGTATGCCGAAAAACAGGCGTACTTTATTCTTTATAGCCACAAGCTATGGCTATAAGGAATGCCGAAAACAGGCGTACTTTATAGCCAAAAATTCTTATTGGGCTTGCAGGGAAAAGAGTCGGAACTATCCAGTATAAGAATAGTTCAGTCATACAAAATATTTCTTTTTTCAGACAAGACCAAACCTGAAATCGAGTTTCTACCCAACCAGCCCAAAATCTCTGACGCGGACATCACGTTACTATGGAAAACCACTACCAACAAACACGCGAGGTTCGAGTGCGCACTGGATAACGTGAGAAATATGCGACCGTGTGGCGATGGCACGACAGGGTCCTGGACCGATTCGCGTATCCCGGATGGAGATCATACACTGTATGTCAGGGCGAGAGATTCGTTTGGTGATTACGGGCAAATCAAAACACACAGCTGGAGAGTTGGTAAGTTTTGAAGAAATTTTCCGTCATTCAGGGAACGGTTGATCAGGTCCAACTTTGGCTTGTCGTCGTGCAATATATATTATATTTATCCTTTTACCTTTTTCATTCCAATAAAGAACAGGCATTTAGCTTTCGAATACTTTCTTGTATCATTGCGATCAAAAATAGTCCAATACCATCCGATTTAAAAATGCCGCTCGAAATCGCATTTTTACACCGTTGGGAACTGCATGTAACGCTTATAGATATCTTATATACACTAGTAGATAGTGCATCTAATTATTCTGCAATTCAAAAATTGAAGCCGTGATTGCAGACTCAGGATATTCCCATGAAATGAGAAGACTCGTATGTTTTCTATTTCTTAAACAGGGAACTTAAACATTAAGTTAAACCTATTCCAAATACATTTTCAAATGATGAAAGTTATTGTTGTTTTTTAAGCGTTTATTGGCGAGTGGGAAACTCCAACATGGCCGCCATCTATTCAAAAGGGGGTAACCGCTGGAATATTCTTGGCTTCAATTTTACTAAAAGAGATGCGCTATCTAGTGTATATAAGATATCTGAGTATTGAAATTATTCTCATTTGGGATTCAACTTAAAGGCAAATTTCTACTCGCAATTTTGCATCGAAATTGAGTGATTAAAACATTTTACAGAACTGGTAGTTTGCAGATTGAACTCGCAATGCCATACGTTTCCCAAATTGGTAACGAGCATTTGGGCAAATGTTCGAAAATTGGAAGAACACAATCCTAACGCCTATATTCTAAAAGCTCACTTACGCTCACAATCAAAGAGTGGAGGTTCAATCTGAGCTTCCCTTGAGCGTCAGTGCAGTTTTTGAATAGCTAGAGGGCGAGTAGTAGGGTGGTAGCTGAAGCTATTCAAAAACAGCATTGACATTCAAGATAAGCTCAAATTGAACCTCCACTTTTTGAGTGCGAGTGTGAGTAAGCTTTCAGAATACAGACGTAAATGTGGAAAAATGCAATTTCAACCGACCACTTTAAATCAGATCGTATTTGGTCATTTTTTTATCGCAATGATTCCATCAAGATGTCATTTGACAGCTAAAAGCCTGATCTTTATAAATACGAAAACAGAAATGCTATAAACATAATAATTACAGGTAAACTACGTGAAGCGTTCCTCTTTTAAGTTCCTAACTTGCTTGCAATTTTCCTCACTACCTTAGTAAATTTGAAAAACTCCCTTGCAAATCCCTTGAGGGAATTTGCAATGTTCTTAAGAGCCAAATAAATTTTCCTCAGTTCCTGTTAGAAGTTCTTAACTTCCTGTTTCAAGTTCCTAACTTCCTGTTCTGTTCTGCGCGTTGTAATTGGCTAACAAAAATAATCCGCCAATGATAACACTCAGAACAGAACAGGAAGTCAGGAAATTAAAACAGGAAGTTAGGGAAATTTGAAAGGAACTTTCTTTGTGTTGGAATATTGCAACGCCCGACAGGAAAATTGCAAATTCCCTCAAGGATTTGCAAAGAGTTTTTCAAATTTGCAAAGCGAAGTATGAAAATTCCAAATGAGTTAGGAACTCAAAAGAGGAATGCTTCACGTAGTTTACCTGTAACACACGATATCCTGTCAAAGTTGGATTAGGTTTTTTTGTGTTGTCAAAAGAAGGTATCCAAAATTTGCCTCGTTTCAGACACCAAAGTTCCACAAGTGACATTGATCGGTACACCACCCGCGCGTTCCACGTACGATACCGGCTCATTCTACTGGACATCTGATGAATATGCAAGCTACGAGTGCGCGATCGATCTCGCAGAGTCTGGCGCACCTTGTGGTAGTGGTGTAAGAATGAGCTGGATTTCATCTCAGTTAGATGATGGAGAACACTCGTTCTATCTCTTTGCCACGGACAGGAATGGCAACCAAGCAAATCCTATCGAACACAAATGGGAAATCGGTACGTACCGTATTTTATCTCGATGATTGAACAAAGGGGCTGTGTTTGAACAAAGGATTTTTTTTGAACAAAGGATTTTTTCATTTTTTTTGAATATTTTTTTAGCTCGAGGATTTTTTTTCTGTAAAACTCGAACATTTAGGGGCTGATTACATGGAGAGTTTTAAGACCGGGCTGAGTTTCGTCACGGTTTTCCCAATGTTTTTTCAGAGTGTAGTTTTAGCACAGAGTAAATACCTCACTTCTTATTAATTTCTGCCTAAGAGATTTTCCCAGTCCGCCATGTTCTTAGCAAGCGCCCTAAAAAGAGGCTGTCACCCCCCTGAAAACATATTGAAATTTAGTAATGTTCCAGGGGGGTGAATGCACTCTTTTTAGGGCACTTGCTAAGAACATGGCCGCCAGATATTTGCAGTAAAGACTACCTGAATTAACTTGTGAAGCATTCTGAAATCAATATTTGACACTGTTAATATTAAAACATTTTTCATTTTCAGAAATTGCCGTTTCAGAGGCTCGAAGGATGCCCCTCGCCCCCTAGAATTGTGACTCGCAAATTATTAAGTTACACGTCTGTTGATGTCCCTACTATATTTCCCTACATTAGTAGTCTCTATAATCAATAACTTTTAATATACCATAGCTTTTGTTGATGTTTTCCTTAACAGATACAAGGCCACCAATAGTGACACTGGATGAAAGCACACAGCGTGTGTCAGCTAGCAACGTGACCTTGATGTGGAGAACCAATGAGAACGCGGTCTTCCAGTGTGCCGTGGACACCATATTTGATAACAGGGATTGTGGCGCTGGCCGAGCAAGTGAACTCGAGTTGACTAATCTTGGCGAAGGACCACATACCATTTGGATTAAAGCTGTTGATGAGCTGGGCAATATTGCTCCCTGGAAGAAACACACTTGGATCGTTGGTGAGTGACTATTTTGAAATATTGCACTGTTAAAATATCTGTTTTTGACCGAATAATGTACTGTTATTTTTTTACAGTAAGTATTTTTTTACAATCTTACTTTCTTCTATTCTACACATTAATAGGGACTGCTGTTGCATAAAACTATTGCTATAACACTAATACTTACATCGTTAATACTTAATTACATCGTTACATATATCTAAACTTAAAAAAAACTTTTTTCAAAACTTGTAATTTGTGTGCTTAATTGCCAAAATTTCAGGCTAGTGGTTCTTGACCTACTGGTTCTTTTATGCGGGGCTTTACTGTATATATTCTAAACGAACCAACTCCCACACGACAGCCAGGTAGAACAGTACCCTTCCCTTTCATCTTTTATCTTCTTTTTTATTCATTGTATATATTTCTAAACTTAATAAAATTGTAAATAGCAATAGTTTTCATGTACTGATAGTTTTCTTGGTTGTCTTATATATATATATATATATATATATATATATATATATATATATATATATATATATATATATATATATATATATATATATATATATATATATATATATATATATATATGTATATATGTATATATGTTTATAATATAGCATTTGTAAACTCTGAACGCTGATTGGCTAAGAGCCGTGTTGATATTGCTATATTATAAAAAAAAATATAAAACATTTTTTCCGTACTGATATATAGTTATATCAACACTCGTGGAAGTTGGGAAAACTCGAAATTGTATGAAAACACTCCGCCCTTCGGGCGTCGTGTTTCCATACAATTTCTCGTTTTCCCAATTCCACTCGTGTTGATATAACTGTATATCAACACGGACAATGTTTTATATTTGTTAAGTATAATATAATAACTGGATAACCAAATATTGATATGTTTTGCAGATGCCAAGCCTCCCGAGCTTGACTTTACATCGGATCTTCCAAAGAAAACAAGTGGCGATGTTACACTCCGCTGGCGATCTAAGGAGCCTACAACATTCAAGTGTGGTACAGATCCTAATAATCTGAAGGATTGTGGTGTTGGACATTTGGGTAATTGGTCAGCAAAAAATCTTACGGATGGTCTTCATGAGTTTTACGTGGAAGCTATAGATGAATTTGGAAATACGGTCAGGATTTTACATAGATGGACAGTCGGTAGGTCTTATTATCTCTATGGAAAACTTCAGTCAGTCGATCTTTGAGAAAAGTGAAGAAACGTCCGTATAGCGAGAATCGAACCCACGATTTCAGATGTGACTGGACATTTGAATATATCTTGCTAGGCCACAGAAGCCCAACATAACTGCTGAATGCTGGCGGATCTAGCCTCATCTGCAAGGAGGGGTGCAGGTTTTCCATGGGTGGTGCATGAGGGAGCCTTACTGCCCATGCACTCTCTTCTGCAGTCTGCAACGCTACTATCCCAACATTACCATTATTTGAGATGGCCGAATCTCCTTGTTCGCCGTTCTTCTAAAGTTTATATCGGCTTTTTATCACGTATGCGTGACTGGACATTTGAATATATGGCTGTGTAACAAACCTCGACATGTTTACATGTTTAACCATGATATTTAACTAAAAGATTTTCTCGTGAACTCACAAATCAATTAAATAGTTCCCAGTAGAAGTTCTGCTAATCGTTATTCGAAAAGCAGAAAATGTATGGTCAAGCAGATTTTTTAGGGTGGTACTGGACTTCTCTAGGGGGATGGTAGACTTCACTAGGTGAGGTGCCCCCCCCCCCTCCCCCCTGCATCCTCACGGTAAGTCCGCCCCTGCACTAAACGTTCTATTTATCTTTTTTGTTCTCACATTTCAGACAACACACCACCAGTTTTGTCGTGGAGAAGGAAACTCCCAGCCGTCACAGGCAAGCGTGTAAGATTTAGATGGCAATCAAACGAGATCGCAGAATTCTTCTGCGCACACGAGAGAATTAATTATATGGAAAGATGCGGCAATTTCAGCCTGAAAGGAAGGTGGATTGAGGCGAATTTACCCGAAGGAAAACATCGTTCCTGGGTTCTTGGGGTTGACGACGTTGGCAATCGTGGCAAGCCATTGCACCATGAGTGGGTAGTAGGTATGTCCATATAGTCTTTCAAAACATGGTTTGGAAACTCCGCTAAAGTCTTTGTTCTATCTTTTTGTTCGCGTTTATGCAGTTTTGTGCACGGTGCACGGTCAATGAACACATTGTATTTCAGTATAATGAACGAATCATCCAATAGCAGCGTTTCAGTTCAGTCATTCAACCATGCTATTTAAATATTAATAAACCTAAAACAAAGGATGTGCACGGTGTAAGGTACGGCTCAACATAAACACACAGCTCATTATAATCGCTTTGAAGTTTACTGAGTTTCCAGACCATGTCTCGAAAAACTATGGTGCCACTAACCCAAAATATGATTTGGCGTGGAATAAGAGTAATACATGAATCATGTTAGAAGAAATGTAACATATCTTTATTGCAAAAGATCTCATCTTGTGCGACCTTTTCATTAGATGAATTGTAAATTTTACCATCCGTTTTTGCTGCTAAAATTTACACATAATGACCTCATATCTGGCAACGTTGACAGTGAAAAGGTTAATCAAGGTTAAACAATCTTAGTATATTGCTCGTGTATTTTCGTGACCCCAGCTACTTTTCCCGACAAAGGGCTCGAAACGTCAAAGTTCTCCTAGTATTTTTCAGGTATAGTTGTATCCCTACCTACACTCAACTGAGATTAATCAATAGTAGCTACAATACCATAATATAACGATACCATTATATTCGCATTTCGTAGTTAAAACCAAACATGTATTGACTATATATATGCAAAGTCCTGACGCGTACCGTAGCTAGGATCACAGTGATCACGATAAACAAGCTCCTCCGCTATGGACGTTTTGTCAATTGCTTGTAACGCTTTGATCAGAACCTCTTTCGTAGCACCAGCCTGGCCATTTGCTTGATACCATTTCATTAAAACCTGGTAAGCTTTTTCCTCCGTGGACTGAAACTCGTCATCAATGTTTTCGATAATAGTTTTAGTAATCCGCTTTAACTTTCTACCTAACTTTTTCCAATCGCGGCCGATCTCTTTCGCCACGAATTGGAAGTGCTTTTCCATCTCTTCTTTGGCTTCCTTATAATTGATCGCTTCAGCCATCCGTTTTCCTACAGTGTATAATTGCATGGGTATAATCTGCATGTCTCTACAATATATAGAATATCATCAGTTTGCATGTTTACATTGGTATTAGGAAAAGGCAACAATCCAAAATCTATAGTGCGTCCGGTGATGCTATTACCT